AAATGGGCCTATCAGCATTTGCGGAGGAAATTGCAGGCTAAACAAAGGGCACCTATGGGCTTACAGCTTATATTCTGATATTTTCGAGTAGGAAATGTTAACCTTGAAATGCTACTATCTGTGTCTAACAATGTGCGATCATAACCCCATAAATGAGGGGAGAAATTGAATCCTTTTAAGTTATTAAGCAGGAAAGGATTATAAACTCGTCTTTATAAATGAGCTAGAAATCCCCATGTCTTCCTCTGTACACTTTGAAATTTCCCACAAGAAGCTGGAGAGGAAAGATTGCCCCTTTTCAAGAGCCCCACAAGAGATGGAAAAACCATTTTTGTGCCCAGATAGGGAGTCGTCCCACATGGTAAGCGCCACTTTAATTAATAGACAGCCTTGAGAGGTATCACTGTCAGCCTGGATAATGGTGCAGGAGCCAGTGTTTGTGCTTCCATGAATATTTCTGATGTGATCAAAGTCAAATGCCAGCACAGAGTGAATGTAAGCCTACTCATTTTTTTTTTATTTAGCCTAATACTGCCGACACTTAAAGCTCCTGACACTGAAATGTCTCTGCAGCATGGTAGGCCTACAAGCTTAAATTGCCCTCCTTAAAATTGATGCATTACTCATTACTCATAAGCAATGTGTTTCATGTTATTATGTTGCACGGTTTGCTCATGTTACCTTGCTGGAACCAATAGGCTAATTTGTTACACTGGTAGAAGTAGCTTCCCTCCATAATTTTATATAAAGCAATATGTCATTAACAACCAATTAAAGCGCCATTTTTTTAAATAAAAAAATATGAAGCTGAACAGGCTAACAAGTGTCACTGAATTTAGTGTAAATTCTCATATTGGCTTTGGCTACTTCGAGTCTTTTATAGGCTTAGGCTAGTGTCATTTAAACAAAGACTATGGTTAAAATGTAATATCTATTTCAAAAATTCTACTATTTTGTCAACTTTATAAGCAAAATGTAGCTTCAATCTCGTTTCTGTTTGAAGTAAAGTGATTGAGCAGGTGTGCAGATCTTTCAATGCTAGCCTAGCCTAACCGGTCTGATCCTGCAATTTAGCAAACTGCTTTCTAAGATAGCTAACATGCTGAGTTTTTGTCCATTTGACTCAGCCCACTATTATTTCCATTAGCCTACTATTATGTTTTATTGTTATTATCTAGCAGCTGTTTAAAGCACATGCAATTTGCCATTTGGCCAGTAGGGGTAGCCTATTGGATGCCAGGTAGCTACAGCTATTAATCGGTTATCAGGTTAAATAACCAGCAAACAACCAAAACATATTTATCGGGCGGGATATTTGGATATTGAAGCAGCCAGAAGTACTGAAAACCATAACAGACATGAAGAAAGCGGACGCTCTCTGTGCGTCTGAATAACAGATAGTAGCCTACCTAGTGCGTCTGACTGAGACGCCAAGGGTCTGAAATAAAGCCTTTAGGGGAAGAGAACTTAAAGATATTTGGAAAAAAAAAGAATTGTCATTTTGTATGGTTTAGGCCTTTGGATTAAAAATATACCCCTATAATAATAATAACAATAACAATAATAATAATAATAACAATAATAGTAGTAGTAGTAATAATAATAATAATAATAATAATAATAATAATAATAATAATATATAATAATCATTATTTCAGCCTTGGCCCTCTTTATAAGAAATGTAGGCCTACCGATGTAAATTCCAGTGAAATGTGGCTTGAGTGGCTGCGGGGACAGGGGAGGTTAATCCGAGTTTAATGCAGTGAAGCACAGCGCAGGGTCTGGGCTATGATGGGTATGTTATCTCTGCCCAACATTTGGGTCTCCCTCAATTTCCACCCAGCCAAATAGCTGCGAGAAAGTGCAGATGGAGTCACTCTCAATGCCTGAGGAAAAAACGTTATTAATAGCTAAATAACTTCCCCATACTTTCACTGAATCTCTCTCACACACTGTTCCAGATGGATTTGTTTGAAGTGGTCTCTCGCTTCATTCCCCTGTCCTTCTCATTCAGCACGGCTTTAGACCCGAAATATAGCTACATTATATTACCATACACTGAGAAGCTGGGCGTGCATGCGCAAAAGTGTGTGTGTTAGTGCGTGCGTGAATGTGAGTTTACGTGGTAAAGTATCGAGGGGACAGCTTTAGCGTCATTCTGCTCTCAATATCCCGAGTTTTAAAAACAAAAGAAATAACACTGAACACTGCTGGACATGGGAGTAGGTGATAATCCTCAATAAACTCATTTTTGGGTAATTGGTTAACTTTGACGTGAATTTACAAACCTTTACAGGTAGCACGTACTGTTTCAGAAATGGGAAAAAAATGTGATCAGGACTCCTTTTTCTTTAAGTATGTTTGAAACAAATAGGTCGGATTTTAAGCTTTACCTTTATTGAAACATAATGGTTTTAATTTGTAGCCATCTTTAGCCACGTCCATCCTGGATATTTGGTATGTCTGACTTTCTCACACCTCTCCACGGCTCTGTCACTTTCCCTTCCTGACGCGCGGGAATAATCCCACCTGGCATCTGTTAAATTAGATTGAGGACCTCAGGTAATCCTGCGATTTGCTGGAGTGTCCATCGCCTGTCTGCACCACAGCTGATGGTCAGGTTAGTTACATTTGTGTGGCAGATGGAGGCAGGACACCTGATTCACCTTTTCTTATAGCCGCGTGGCGCAAAACAAAAGGATGCCCAAATTTGTACAGATGTTGCGAAACCTTTCTCCATTTCTAGCGCGTAATTTTATTTTGGCATTAATGTAACAGACGTTCAATAAGTGTGTACAGAATTGAGCACTAATTTGTGAAATCTCAGACGATTAAAAATTAACACATTAAAAAAAGGCAACCATGACAGAAGTGTGAAAAAGTGGAACAATTTTTAAGTTTTGGTTGCTTCTCCCACCATCCTTCAGAGAAAAATGCGTTCAAATAAATTCAGATTATATTAATATGGTTAGCGGTTTATATAGGTCTACACGTTTAATAAAGCAAGATTATAGCTGGGATAAATCCGTGATGTAACCTCTGAGAAAATCAAATACACAAGCCTAATAAACAAATAGATAAATAAATAAAGTCTTAAAATCTGGATAAGTAAACGAAAAAAAAAAATCTCATGAATTTTGTGCCCTGGGCGAGCCACTGTGAGCCCCGCTCTGAGATGAAAGTGAAAAGAAATAAAAGGCTCTATTTAATCTGCTTTAAAACCCCTCTCCACATAAGGGCTGCGCATCAAACTCAGAGAGTGAGGGGCTGATTGGGGATAAATACATTTCTTACCCTGCCTGCAAGCTATTACACCCGGCACGAACACAGACACCTATTCAGCAACCGTCGTTTCCAGCGCTTACTCTAATAAGTATTAACATTATTAGATGCCATCCGGATGCCGGTATAAACTGCATTACGCAGAGGGTGCGTATCTTTTTATAGCAACGTAATTAAGTCCTGATTTAAAACACAAGAACGCTATTTAAAGAGTAAACGCAGAGATATTCTGTGGATCAAACAGCAGAAAGTCAATAATATTGTAGTTAATATTTTACAAGTCAAATAAGTTGCATTACGCATCAACATCCCCGCGTTTTTTGCACGTAACGTTCATACTCAAAGCAGGAAAGAATCGTCATTTAAAGCCAGCAGGGTTTATAGATCATCTTTACGGACTCTGGGATATTTGAAACAGAACTGTGATTTTTTTTTCTTTCTTCCTAACATTAGTGCGTGGAGTGACAGAAAAAAGAGACCGTTTTCACGCTATCAACTGATTCTTCTCGAACGGACCATTATGGAAAATTACAAAACTATCTAGCAGCGGGGCGTGCTGAATAATTCATCTCCTTTTATGTCTCTCCGTGCCCTTTGTCCAAACTTTTCTCTCTCTTTTTAGCCGCTGTTTGAATGAGAAAGGACGGGCCCACACTCTCCCTTTTCGCTGCCCTGCTTTCCAGGATTTACTTTTGTACCTCGGACTCTTCACTTTTAGAAAAGCGTCAATGGAGGGCGGGGAGGTTTGTTGCGCGTGAAGTTCATCTTCAAGTTTGAAAATGTTTTGGCAGAGTCTTTTTGAGCGGAGAGGCTTTTGTGAACTCTTATCGAAAACGCCATTCACTTACGTTTGATCATCAAAAAAGGAGAAACCTCTATAGCGCTTTGAAACAAGCATTTTTGCCCTCCATGGGTAAGAAAAACAGCAAAGCAAATAACACAAGAAGAGATAAGACAATAAAATGAGAAGTTTTCAAGTGTAAAATGAAAAAAAAAAAAAAAACGTTTACATCCTTATTTCTTTTTTAAATGAAAGAATAAGAAAATCTCAATTCAAAGTCTAATTGTTTGTAATGAAATGTAATGCTCCCTCATTTGTTATGTTTCTCTATGTTGTGTTTTAAAATATGTTAAATATGCTATAGAAAAAATACCGTAAACAACAGGGGATCTCAATGCATTTTAAGGTTATTACAAGCTTGTAAATTCTATTGACAAACAGTGACAGCCAATACGTGCATCAAAGCCTTATTTCTCCCTCCTCGCAGCATTACTAATAGAGCAAATAATAATATGAACATTGATTTCACTTTAAGTGACAAGTGGTGAAATGTCAGTGAACTGACATCGATTGTGAAATGGGTCAACTGTCAGCTGTCGTTTAAGGGTCGTTAAATGAGTGAATGAATGAGGAGGAATTCGCTACACAAATTAATTTTCTGCACTTAAATACCTTCTGCCAAAGGCTCTCATAAATAATTGAGTGAATGAACAAGTGCTGGCTCGGAGTTAAAAGCAAGAATACATTCTCTGCGTTTAGCTGAAAGCTCGGATGTGGGACAATTTCCCAAGAGGACGTAAAGTAGGAAGTCTATTTAAAACAAGCGCTTTCCTGTTTACAAGGCTGTTATTTACTCTGCATTATAATAATTATAATAATTTGTAATTCAAACAGATATGTACAAAAAATGGCCAGATACTTTCTGCCGTTAACTTACATTTATCACCGAGGATGCCATCGATGCTATGCTTTGTTTTCCTTTCTCCATCTTCATCCTTCTTATCACAGTCATCCTCGTCATCTTTTTTGCCAAATCGGGCCCTCAAAACGCGGCTGATGGAGCTCACTAATGGCAACAAAAAGGTAAATGGGTGATTAGCCCTAAAACCCATAAAAGAACCAGAATAATCCTATCATACATTTGTTTTAGAAGGACACAACAAATGGCACAGGAAAAGTTTGACATGAGCAGCTTCGTCGAGGAAGTGGAAATTAAAGGGAACTACATTCTAAAAATGCAATAATACAAGGTGAGTTTTTCTGGCTCAGGTGAGCTTTCTGCTACACTGAGACATTTTAAAATCAGTAACTGAGGGGGGAGGGTGCTTAAAATTATGTTGGATTCAAAGTGATGCTCTGATAGGACTGATGCTGCAGTGTTGGCTAGTAATAAGAAAAAAAAAAGAAAAGAAGTGCAGCTTACCAGATGAAGCCTCACCTGAAGGAACCGTGCTTCTGTCGCACACCCCGTCCTTCAGCAGCTTATCCCGGATCTCCCAGCTGAACATCCCCGGGTTCTCTCTCTTGTACTCCTCGATCCGCTTCTCCACGTCAGGAGTTGCCACCTGCTGAAGGGTTGAAGTGGTGCGATGAACGCAAGAGGGGGGGGCAAATGACAAAAGAGGGGAAACAAGACAGTTTTAATTGAGAGGAATTTTTAAAACCGAGAAGTAAATGTTTTCTTTTCAAAAGTAAAAACGAATATTGAGAATAAAAGCGAAAAAAGTGATTTAAAAATTAACGTTGATGCAAACAAAACAACACCTGTGAAAAAAAATGTGTCCTTGTACAGAATAAAATAGCCTGTAATATGACAAAAATACTGAAAACATAACAGCTGCCTTTCATAAAGGACCAAATATTATCTAAGAATGTAAATGTATAAATGTAAGTAATTACAAGAGACCACAAAATGTAAAAATAAATAAATAAAGGGATTTAATTATGTCTTTTATTATATAAAATTATATTTTTAGTATCTTGTATTTAAATATATATTTTTTTAAATGTATTTTTACATGATAGATCATTTTAAATTAAATCTAAAATATTGGATATCAACTTTCAAAAACAATTACAGCCAATAAATATTGACAGCAACGTGTTGATTAAACAAAACAGGATGTTATAGGTGGGATGACATTTAATAATACCCTAATAATAATAATAATAATAATAATAATAATAATAATAAAAACGATAATAATAAAAACAATGACAATAATGATAATAAAAAAGCATTTAAGACATACGTTTTTGTGTCGACGTTGCTTTATTATAACACTTCCTCAGTTTTGAGCTCACTCAGGTGTCCTGTACCTCGTGATGCCGGTCACCTTAGTGACAGTAACCCACACAGACCCACCCTCATGGACCCCACTCACCCTGGGCTTGCTGCCTCCGATGGCCCCTGGACGGATCGAGCCGGTCTCCTGGTATCGGCAGAGGATCTTGGAGACACAACCGTGAGAAACTCGCAGTTGTCGCGAGATTACACAGGGTCGGATGCCGTGGTGGGCCATCTCCACTATCTTGTGTCGGATGTGATTTGGCAAGGGCCTCCCGTTGATGAACACGCCGCCAAGCTGGTTCACCCTCCCTTGGCCCAGAGGGGTGGACACTGCGCCACAATAAATAATAAAAAAAAAAAGTTTCAAAAACAACAACAAAAAAAAAACAACGAGATTTGGGAAATGTTTACTTGGAGAAATAATGAGCTAATTCAACCCAGTTCTATATACAAATAGCAGTATGTTTGCTATGTTACTGACTTTTAATGGGACGCAGTTTACTCACATTCTCATATTACACATTTTCAAGAGAGACTCGTGCCAAATTCTCTCAGCGTCTGTCTGTCTGACAGGATGTATCCGAGGCCACTTCAGCGCTCAATTTCACATTCAAGAGACACTAAAGAGGCTGACACTTCCCACCTTGATTATTCCTAGTCATGCTGTACAAATATTGATGTGATCCTTTGAGTCGTCTCTTTGCTGTGTGTATTGTGGCCATTTCCAGCAGCAGGACACTTGAAATAATCCCGGAGCTCGAGGAACTCGCGAGCTACGTGGTTTTTCTACATTTCAGTCCAGAGCACTTGAGCACGATCTGGGCGTAATGGGAAAACTGTTTCCAAAAACGCATGCAAATACAAAGTGATCTTTTTTACGCCCATATGTTCACACGACTCGAGTGTGGACATTGAAGTTTGGAGGGAAAAAAAATTACCAATTAGATTGCTTTTGTTTGTTGGTGTGGGTGTTTGTTTGGTGTGTGATCATTAAAGTTTTACTGAGATTTGTTTTCCTAAAAATGAAACAAAATAATAGCCTTAATCTTTCATCTGTGAAAATATGGAGAAAACTTACTGTAGGTTAAGGTCGTATTAAATTGTATAAAAATAAAAATCTTTACATTGTAATATTTTGAATACAAGTCCTCAGCAATTGGAAAAGCAAAGTATTGAATACCTAAACTTATATAATTGTATTTTATTTAAGTTAGCCTTATTATAGCCTTCATACATTATAGCCTAAATAAATTAAGTAGCCTACATCTCTATGAGAAGCAAACATTTCTGGGATAAGATCGGTCTAAAGTGAATTAAATTGAATCAGTAATAAATAAATACAAGCTTTACAACAAAAAATCTTTCAAAAATCAGATGTCATAAGGCTGGAAATATACGTGACAATTTCAAAAAGTTTGAAGATGTATAAGAAAGCACAAACAGCTTCCTTACTCCATATTTAATTCACTTGTGACTGAGGCTGTTAACTTTAATTATCTCTGACTGGAGGTCGTATTTGTTCACCCACCTTTTTATTTCCCAGCATGTCGCCAGTAACAAACTGTGTGCCTGTGTGTGACTCTCACACAGGCTGACAGAGTGCACAGCTGATGAGTTTTGTCACAGCAAACAAGCTCACACATCACACACATGTTGTCACTTCTCTTACCTTCCAGGGGGAAGCCGGTTCGGGGGTAGTTCTGGCCTGGCGCAGGGCGCATCATACGAGGCATAGTTCCGGGTAAAGTAGCCATCATGTAGCTACTGACACGAACAACACAATGTACTCGAACCCGTTACTGTCACAAAGTCCAAGTAAAAGAAACGGAATGCCTTCAACAGTGCTCAAAAAGAGTCTGCTGTCAAATCCAAATCCCAGGTGGAGAAACCGGACGAGCCCTTCTTCAAGCAGAGAAAAATAAAAGTGATGCTCTCCTCTGCTGCGACGCCAAAATAAAAGCGAACAACAGCAGCCAAATAAAAATGCAATCTGCAAAATAGCGCAGTTGCACACGAAGTTGTATATCAGAGTTGCAGAAAAGCACTGTTATTCTTTTCCCCTGGCGTAGTTTGGGTTCAGTATAATGTCTGCTGCCTGGTTAGAAGTAGTTTAAGTGGCCAACTTTCGTGCATGTCGTAGGAGGAGACAGGCGCGCGCTCCCATAGGCTCCCCGGCCTTTCTTTTATGCATGAAAGAGAGTGGGTTTAGCCAGAGGCCGGCCGACCAATCAGAGCAACACATTCCACTTTTAATTCACTCCTGCCTCCCTTCATGAGACTCCATACACCGAAAACCTGCAGTTCAACATTGTATTATATCTAAATGTTATTCTAAATCCTGACTTTTAAAAATGTGTCCGCTTTCATGACATTCAGCTGCTTAAACCTGAGGAATATTAATGCTCTCAGGTTGAGGCTCTAATTTCCCTTTTTTTCTTCGCGCTATCACACTTTATTCTATTATATATTTTTTTAGATAATAGGTATAAGCTAAAAATACAAAATAAATATGTAACCCTTAAATTGCATCCATAGCAACAACTCAAACACAACCTATTTGTTAGTTTTTGTTTAAATACGTTTATTATTTTTGTGCAGATAAAGAATCGAATTCTAATTAAATATAATGTGATTAGAAAAAAAAAATCAAATTAATTGACCGTATCAAAAGTAAATACAGTCGATTAAAAATCTGCGTGACCCTCTGTATCCAAAGTTATTTTTTCACGGTGCACACGCAAAGCTTCGCGTGAGTTAAAATTCTCGGCACAGAATAACTGTGTCAGACGCTGATGCTGTGTTTTCTGAGTGCACAGATGCTGTGTAAAAGTTGCCCTGTCTGTCTAAGGTTAGACCGTAAGATGCCTTTACCTTGTTAACCTTTCAATTAAGTAAGCATGGACGTCTAAATCGCTCCTTTTGCTGTTTGTGGTAATGACAACATTTGGATCGACCCGCTTATTGGTGACAACAGGTTGCCTTGCCCTCGAGTACGCACACGAGTAATTGCTAAAAGGTAATTGTTCAAAAATAATGCCTCGCTATTAAAGTGGAATAAAAAGCGCACATGTGGCAGAAAAAGAAGAGGTGCATGTGTCAACTCTGTGGGCCCACCGTGCATATAAAATCGTGTGACAATTGCCGTGGAAAACACTCCTGGTGGAAGGCAATTTCACAAATAATTTTAGCAACAATTAGGGAGCGTGGAGGGGTGAAATGGCGATTTCACATGCAGATGTGCCGGTGGGAAGGATCTGGTACCCTGCCGAACAGCTCTGACCCTCACTCTCCCGCTTTGGTTCGCTTCACATGGGACGCAGGAGCACAAAGAGAGCGCCTCAACCTCCTGGGAAGGCGCAAAGAGTGCTGGATTAAGTCAAGCATCAATCATGTGAGATCCACACAAAAGCACTTTTCTTTTCTCTTACGGAAAGCACGTTCTTTAAAAAAATAAACAAAAATGAAATAAAAAAATATATAGGCCTATTTCACATATCTGAAGCGACAACAGGTATGTTTTTTTTAAATCACAAAGACACGCAAATAAAGCTAATAATCTCATCTCCCTGCAAACATCATTGGTTGAGCAGCAGCAGGTCTTGCCTCTGTTATCCTCATCATTATTAGCCTGCTTTTCATTTGTCATGGAGCTATTCATTATTACAACCGAGAGAACAAGGAACCCTCTGTGTGCAGAGGCATTTTGCATTTACACTACTATGAATTTAAATGTGTTTGTAAAAAAACATTTCATATTTAAAAACACATGCATCATATTAAGATATTTTTTTTACCTCCTATGGCCACATTATTTCTTTTAGATTAAAAAAAAAAGATCTCTTACAGGTAGTTAAAGACATTTGATATGCTTTGCTGTTCCACAACTAGAGTTAATAAAAATGGAAAAGGTTAAAGAATAGATTAAATGCAATTTTTTATGGTCTCTTAAAATTAGGGTACTTTCATCTCTTAACTTAAAGAAGAAGTGCTGAACAGTAGAGTAAACAACAGTTAAATCTCACAAAGGCCTCCAGAGGGATGCTATAACTTCAACCATTATTTTGTGGTTTTTCATTTTTTCATGTTTAAATGACAATATATTCCTATTGTTGTGGCACCTTGTCCACTAGTGGGCGACTCCTGTCTCACTTGTAGAATTCTGCTATATTGGCCACCTTAATGTAATCTGTGTGCTCTTCCAAACAACCCTTTTTTTACTGCTTACATATGTATGAATGCATAATGTTTCTGTATTCTCTGACCACAAGTGACTCGGAGTCCTCGTCGTCCTCGTCACACCCTAACCTCCCTTCAGCCTGCTCGTTTCTGCAGGCTGCGGCTCAGCGTCTGGCTCCTATAAGTAAGTCTGTCACTGAAGTTTCCTCTCAGCTGCAGCAGACACAAAAACACTTCCTCTCCCTTACGATACTGTCTGCAATCTTATCTTGATCAGGAGCGCTCTTCAAACACTTCCCTACATCGCCTCTCATTATTTGTGTTATGGTAATTACCAAAGTTTCTTTTTTGCTTGTAGGTGAACACTCCCTCTCTCTCTCCTATCTGCATGTATTTTCTCTTTACACAACGTTCAGCTATATCCACAGTGAGGAGCACAAAGAGAGAACACCTTTGATGAGAGGCATCTCCAATTTAGGCTTTATCTTTGTCTTGAGCTGAACAAAGGCGAAAAGTACAGGCGTTTAAGTGTGCATAAACATTCATGTTTTTACTTTATTTGAATTCTAACAGAGCTTTTATCTTCTGAAATGCGATGGTGTTTTTTTTAATGCAACCAAATAACACATATTGGTCTTAGTGAATGGTTTATAGATTATATTTAGATAATGTGTATTGTTTTTGCATTTATTTCTGCAGTAAAAGCAGTTTATAAAAGATGTCTGCAAAGCTTCTAGATATAAACCATATCATATCATTAGCCTCAAAATAAAAAGAAAGACATTTGGGCCATATTGAAAGTGTAGACGGGGAATCAGTGAGATACAAAAAACAGCAAGCAAAAAAAATTAAACACAACAATTTTTAAAGGAACCCAAAAACTCAGTAAACACGTAAAGTCCTACGTCTCTTCTGGTCTTGTGATAAGTGCTGGTCTGAACTTTAAGTATATTAAAAAATTAATCAAATTCAACAGTCTCCTTAAGCTTTTTTCCATTTCGTGGGCATATTAGTGCTGAAGGCGAGGTCTGTTCTTTGTTGACAATATGGAAGATGTTTTTTTTTCAAAAAGTAATCTTACATCAGCACTAGTGCTCATTATATGAATCACACACTGCGTATTATTTGCTCCCATGATGGCTGACCTCCACTTTGTTAAATGTGGAAGTATTGCATGCTAAAACAAAACAAAAATCTGCTTGTGGGAGAAACACTGTCAATAAAAATGTCAGGGAGAGAGTTTTTCAGTGCAGAAAGCCCAAAAAGTAGTTAAAAATCTGTTATGGTTTACCACCATATTCAGTCCTTCCACAGTTTACCTCCAGTGCCAGGCTCAAAGCTCAGCAGACAGATGCTCTCAGCAGTGCAGAGGCCTGCACTTCCACCACAGCCTTGTTAACTTGTTGAGACATTTTCACATCTGCTCGGAATTATCCAAATGTGTAATCGCTTCCTCATGGGAATTATTTGATCACGATAGACAGAGAGCGTATAAAATGCGCTCTTAGAAGGGGACTGGTGAAAAGCTTATACTTTGTGTTGAAAGTTTAATTAAAGAAAGCTGATTTGAGATACTCATCTCATTATGTGTGGCACGGGGAGGAGCTCCAAACAGGCATGTAAGGTCTGACAAGGTGATGTTTGGTTAATAAGGAGAGTGAGGCATTCCTCACACTCATTTGGAACAAGTTAGCCATACGTGTGAACCCTGCCTGAACTCCCACCGTTCAGTCTCCTCTTGGCCAGCTCCATACAGTACATATATAGGAAACACAGAGGTGTAATAAAACCAAGTGAGCAAAGGTGAGGCAGATAGTTCAGTGGAGTTTGTAATAAATTCAAAAGAACAACAGAAATCCTGCTTTATAGAAAGACTTGGTTGTGTGTAAAGATTCTATAGCGTGTAGAACAACTGCAGACCTTTTTTTCAGTCAAAGGAAGAAAGGTGGGAAAACAATCCTTTCAAAAAATAACATAAGAGACAGAATATAGATCTACTTTAATCTCAGTTAAAAACAGGCACAACGAAACATAGTGTAAAGATGTTATGCTAACTCCTATATGTAAATACAATGAAATAAGTCTTCTGCAAACAATATGTTATTCTCATGATTTTGATCATTTACTCGTCCAGTGTTTCAAGTCTCTAAATAAAAGTATACTAAAGGATACAGGACTATACAAAGATTATACTGAGGATTATAGTCCAGACAATTATATATAATTCAAATGTATTTCACAGTTGTTTGTTTGTGTTTAAGGGTTAGGGTTAGGGTTTAGGGGTTTTTACAGATGTTACACCGTATTTAATGACAGATAATGAAATCCTGAAACAAACGTTTTACAAGACATCCCACAGCCGAACTGTTTCCTTTTCAGTCAGTTAACTCTTGTCAAAACTTCCAAAGTCATTGACTTTTCCTGCATTTTCAACACTTACAGAGAAACACACACAGTTTAACTCATCTAAAGACACTGAGTTGGACACCAAGTTCAAGTGGTTTGAGTTCTTGAGGATGTGTTGTAAATAATTCCATTTAATTCATTTTGGTGGTGAAATTTACATTATTTATGATTGTAACTGTCACCTGTGTAATATTCTAAAAAGCACTTTTTTAAATTATATCTCTCCTGAAATATGAGTACTGCCACACATCCTGCATATACTTTTGTCTACCTTTATAGGTATTTAAACTGCTTGGATGTGCAGCGAGCTGTGCTATACATATATTCCACCATATATCCATATATATCTGATCAAAAACCAAGAGCAATATACAATGGATCTATTGTCAGATTTTCATTATTTGATTCTACTGTATTGCACTTTGTTTGTTTGTGTACAAAGGTATACTGATAGCTTTCATCGAACTGAATCCACATGTGTTTAAAAGAAAGACTGTTTTCAACCGCTGATTTCATTTAGAGACTGTAATTGTACTTAGTTTGTTCTCT